GTCCCGTTCACGCATCAGGATCTGATAGAATCCATCCATCAGATCAATGGACGAGAAGATGGTACTCTTTGACATACCATCTATGATTACGTCCTTCCTCGGTATCGGCTTCTGAGCCGGTACCGTTGCAGCGTTCAACTTGTTGAATGCGTGCACTATCCGCCATCCTCCTGTGGCTTTTCGCACACAGAAGGTCGGAGAGCTGTGAGGGGATGTTGATTCTCTCACATGGCCCGCTGCAAAGCGATCGGCAAAGAAATTGTCGGTCGCTAATACTTGTTCACGAGGCAGTGGCCACTGCTGCATGACATAGTACTTCGAGCCCGGTTTGAGCTCGATCTCGTGTCGAGTGCCTTTGTCCTTAGGCAACTCGCAAGGCACGGATTCAGGGCAAACATCCTTGAATTCGATCAAATCCTTATACAAAGGATTTGCCTGAAGAGACTTCCAGGATTGAGATTCATATCTCTCAATCCGAGTCTTCTCATCGATGAAGCTTTCGTCCATCGATGTACTGCTGAGAACCATCTCGGTTCCAGTAAATCCCGTTGCCGATCGAATATCGGTAACGTACTCATCGTTTGTGACGAGTGTGCAGATCTGCTTGACCTTGCCGCTATGCAGGTCACGTAGGAACCGTTTTGGTTTTAACGTTGGCAATTGAGTTTTTCCCGAAGTCAACTTAGGAAACGAAATCATATCGAGTGTATAAGCACCTACGCTTGACCCGTCATTATACAAGACATAAAATGCCTAAATTAATTTATGGGATGTCACATCCACGGAAATCGGGGTACTTTCTTCCTCAGCATTGACCACTTGACGAACGTCTTCATCAAATAAGTGGGGATCCTTTTCCTCCACGTCTCCTGACAGTGGCTTTGCAACCCCTGTCAGGTAACGATTGCCTACGGTCGACTTCCTAGTTGACCTATAACCTCCGTGTTGCCAATCATCGACAACGGGTTTATTCTATCTCGAATTCTACCTCTCCGGCAAGCATCCCCTGTCTCGTTTTCTCTCGTCTTCAAGTATTGGACCTTCGGCACTACCTGTGCAAATGCACGGTCGCCGCAAGATTTATCTACAGCGTAGTGATCATCTGCATGCGGTCTTGTACAGTCGTGCTAACGACCTTACCACAAGTGAGGCCATCGCACTCACTCGCAATACACCCGCACGATAGTGTGCGTTCCAAGACGTTCATCAGATGGCCATATGATGAACAAGTGGCAGATATGTTTACTGATTGATGCTGCCAGCTCACCCTTGGTTTTTATCTCCTTAGCCAAGGAAGATCTAGGATGACTTCAAACTTGCCATGAAAATCCAGTACGATAATGGCATCATCGTACTGTTTTGCCTTTAACACATAGTGTATTCCTACTACACGTTTCTTCACAGTGATCGATGCGCCTGTCGCTAGGCGCACCGTCATCTTCGTTGGAGGGATCTCCCGCTCCGACGAAGTTAAGTCTTCCAGCCTCTTGTGACTGGCGACGAACGAAAAATTCTTGACGGCCCACGGTCAAATATGGTAAGAAGTGACAAGTTCTTTGTCACTTTTAATATCGAGGTGATATGAATCCCCTTATTGCTCTGTGCAGAGACACACAGTGACTGTGTGTCGGAAGCAACCTTCGTCAAGAGATTTGCAAATCCTCTTGATGTTGCTGGGTCAGTCGGGCGCTCCGCCCTTACTGAGTCCGTCCATTTTTTGGCGGTCCGCCTCGCTTTTGTGGCTTTGCAACAGCGTCGGGCCTTCGTCCTCCAGTCTTCCTGTCTGGTAGCCGATTGCTACGCTCAACACCGCGGGGTCCTGAGCGGGGGAGACTTCATTCGTATGCGTAGTGGCCCAGTTTGTGACAGCGATGGCATCTCAGAGATCGCTTGTCATTCGCAGGGCGAGGTTTCTCGCCCTCGAGATAACTGAGATCCATTGGCTCTGGACCTCCGACCGCTGGTCTTCTCGGTTGACGATCAGGGATCAACGTAGTGTGAGCCCGTTTCACACTAAATACTTTCTGCTCCGCAGTGTTGATTGCATCCGAGAGCGTCTTGATATCTCTGCGGAGATGGAGGTCCCTAACGGGACCATCTGCAAGACCTCAAATGAATATTGTGATCAACACAAATTCACTCACAGAATTCGCTACCATGCAACTTGTAAGGAATCGCACATGCCGGGTGTAAGCGTGAACTTTACGCTTACCCAAATTTAGTTGCAGGAGCTCTGATAGAGTCATACAATCTGTCCTTGGCGGCTCAAACGTTTCGCCGAGCAGGGTCTTGACGATCCTTAACTACCCAAACACGTTTGGGTCGTGCAACTTTAAATTGAAAAACCAGTTCCTGGCGTCCCCTGCCGAGAATGACTATGAAAATGCGACTTGCATTTGCTCATCGTCGATGCGACGGGCCTCGATGGCACCGGGTACCTCGACAAACTGTCTAAACCTGGAGTCTTCCTCGACTCCCGAGTTTTACAGGTATCTAGCTATAAATATTCCCGTCAATGCTCGCGCATCGACTCTGCGGACTGAGACTGTTGTTGTCTTAGAGTTCCAGTCCACTGTTGATCTTGTATTTGCAACAAGGTCACCTGCGCTCGTGACTCATCAAGTTCTAGTTGCAAGGGCTTGCTGATGACGGCATGCTGAAGGTCCCTATCCCTTGAGGATAGCATGGCCCAGAAAGCTTCTTCGCCAACGGTCGAACTCATTCGTTCGATCGCACTCCATTCGAAATCGCTCAAATAGGAGTAGGTTTTATGGGTTCCGTGAAAGCTGTCGCCTTCTTCATCGTCCAACATGTTCATGTTGGGTAGTGTGATTGTGGTCCTCGGACTACAAAGTGCTACCTGGTGTAATGGGGCACCGACAACTCCGTACTGGTCTATCAGTACGGAGTTAACTTTCACTGACAACAGTGATGGTCAGTGCCCTGCTGTGTATTATACTAATACAGAGGAAGGTAAGCGACTAAGTCGAAGACTCTAGTCGTGGTGAAAGTAAAACTGTCATTTAATGCAATTAAGTTCTATAACTCTTGTTTCTCTTGTTCGTCCTGACTTAATTACATTAATCTCACTAAACATATGATGACGCCTCCTCACCACCCATTGCGCGCGTCTAGCAGCGATTGGTTGGCTGACATCGTCTCAACATAAACAACGAGAAGACCCTTCGTTCATTTCTACAATATCACTATGCTTAGTAATATTGTTGAAAGAATATTCATCGTAATATTGTTTATTGTCATTTTCTATCTAATGACAATGTCATGTAATGGGCTACCCTGTTATAGTCCCAATACGTGATGCCGTGTGGGATAAGCAGAAAGACAATTTCCATCGGTTGATGTTCAAGTTTTTTGCAAGCATATTTTGTATATTGACGACTCAAAAGTATATTAATCTAACATTTTTATCAATCCAACTGCGCACGAGTGCATTTGTTAAAGCTAACAATCCAAAACTTACTTCTTATTGCGCGCGTCAAACGGCGACCGGTGGTATCGTTGGGTGATACAATGGCGTCTATGTCAATAAACGAATGGAGCCGTGAACAAACGTTATCTTCGAATTTGATATTTCTCTAATACCGACAACAAAGTAAAGCAGATGCGCGAGAATATGATCAAGTAAGATAATATTCGCATTGACCCATTTTTAATGTCGACGACATAAAACGGGCTCACTCGGTATAATGACGGCTGGCATGGTCTTGCGCCGCGCGTCGTCACTCCTGCGACAGCGCACTTCCGTCCTGTGAACGGTCTCGACTGCTCTCCAGCCGTAATGTACCGATCCAGCTGCACGATACCATCCCATCACTATACCGCGACAATTTATGGCAGTTGAGAACTGCCTGGAAAAGTCAATACACGAAGCCCTTCTACGGTTCTGCATCTGAAGCGGCGTGTGAGTGCGCACGTACGCGTTGGACTGCACGACAAGTTCTACTTTGCTCTATCGTTGCCATTTTCGTACAAGTCGCTGGTGCCACAGGTTTCTTGATCACTGGCGTGTGTGTGAACGCACGGATCGCTGCTCGCCACAGAAGGCAGACAAAGCTCTAAGTATATTCGCGTAAGTCAGCAATGTTCAGTCTTTTTAAACATCGCATTGCTGTTCAGCTAAGACGTTCGTTCGTACTTCTGTGTCTGGCCAGCCCGAACTGTTACATACAACACTCTGTCGAAGGGTGGCGGCAAGGAGGACCCAGAGGCAAAGTAAAAAGTACTGTCCGTGAATTATTGAGGTCGGGGTCTGCATGCCGCGCGAATTGCAGCCGCCCCAGACGAGCGGCAGACACGGCCTCTTGGCGATTTCTGCTGCGTCGTACCACCTCGTTGTTCTACGGAACGTAAATGCAACTATCCGATTCAAGCGAACGGTGCGTTCATTGCCTATTTTGCAACATGCATCGTCAGGTTGACATCGTGCAGTGATTCTTACATTAGCGGCTTTGGCGCACTCGCCCACGACTTACGCCGTACGATTTTGCTACCGATTGGCGTAAATGAAGGGAGTGTTCCAGATGCATGTGAACTACCCCAACGTGAGTGTGCATGGCGTCGTAGGAGCCCTTCCGGATCCGACCGATGCACTTTTCTCTTGCGACGCGCCCCTTCCTAAGTGCCGTCGGCATCTCTACAGTACAGTCGCAGCAGTGCAATTGCGCGACGCTTTCAGCGCCCATAGCGTTTCTGCTACATGGACGAACCCAGCGAGAGGTCTACGACCAAATCTCACTAACACACTTGCAACAACTATGACGGCCCTACGCCATGCATGACGCATCCAAAGCATTGCAAAACAAAATGACGTAGTAAAGTTATATTGATTCGATACCTGATTATCTGAAAGCTACTGGATTGTGGGGTCTCACTGAAACACACAAGTGTTCATGGCGTTGAGGATGACCACTGAGTTCCTTGCAGATCTGGACGCAGCCCTTGGAGCTAGAGCGCTTCCCATGCTCGTGCACCGTGCAAGGCTATTTGTCGGAAGGCCGGCCACCCTTAAGCCCATCGGTCGGATCCGACTGCTCCTTGGGCTTTGCGGCTTCCTCCTTCGCCTTTTCAGCCTCCTTCGCCTTTTCAGCTTCCCTCGCCTTTTTCTCCCGAAACTCCCACTTCCCCTCGATGTCACTGCTGTCGATACTTTCTCTGCTGTCCGTGCTTTCAATACTGCTGCTGTCGTCGTCGTCGTCTTCGCTGTCGTACTCCTTGCCCGTCGGGGGGCTCGATCCCCTCAGACCTTGCGTTTCTTCAAAGGTGACAGCTGCATGAAGCTTGCGGTGGGCCGGCGCGGGCGGAGTCTCGATAGACGACAACGTGTTCGCAGACTCTACTGCAAAGGCGTCGCCACGGGCCCAGAGGCAGACGATTGCCGCGGCCGAGAGGTACGCAAGATACGATACGCGCATGATGAGGGTCGAATCGGCAGGAGGCGGTGGAAGTTGTTGTGGTGGTAGCTCTTGGAGGCGAGTTGTAGAATGGCCGAAGTTAATCAAGTAAGACTTGCCTGAAATGTCTCTCTCTCCATCAGGGCGGGTCGTAGGCAAGAGAGCAGGAGTGCAAGGCGTGGGGGTAAAGGCAGTAGCTTACGTCAAATCTTCGAGAAGATGTCGGGAAGGCTGTGCTTGAAGAAGAGTAGGGCCCTGGAGATAGTAGATTTGAGGGCCGGGAACGTAGCAGTATGCATCACTCGCGATAGGCCACACTCGCCCAGATCGTTGGAGCCAGCCCGTCCGGCTCCGTTTGTCGCACATGAAGCGAGGACCACGACGAATGCGCGCAGTCCCGACAGAGAGACAGACGGAATGCGCGCAGTCCCGAGTACAACGCCCTACGATCTTTCTCGAAATTTCGAGGAAAGGTCTCGTCGTAGCGTTGTTGCTTGTTGTCGCATCTGACAGATATAAAACATGCATGACCCCGTGGACCCATCACTCTGTCCGATGGCGTCCGTGGCCCAATAGACATGTAATGACGCAGGATTCGCCGCAAAACATTCGGTCGAGTGAACTCAGGGCAGGTAGATGGTGTGCATGGGCGGCAAACGTGACGTAAATGGTGACTGAGCGCTGTGCTGCGTCAGAATATCGTCTGCGAAGATTTTTAATACACTGCTAATGCCAGGCCGTCAGTTTGTTTGCTGATGGTACCAATTTATACTCTTGAGAATTACACTTGCTCACGGTTTCTTATAATATTATGCCGGACTGATTTACTGGCTCAAAACAAGATGATCTAATAGAGGCACGGATGGAACTGTTAGTTATTTAGTTTTTAACATAGGGCACATAAGGGCCAAAAATGTCTATTTAGCTCACTTGCTGCCTCACTTGCTGCCATTGTATGCTCCCTTCTCGCCTCTCCCAAGCTGTGGGACATTTCTGTATTAACTAATTATATGCCGCAACTTCTCATGTTATTTAAGAACGAATACACATACCGGAAAGGCCATACGTTGGCTTCACAGATCAGATTTTGATGGCACGGCTGATCATTGATGAGGAACAACGAGGCGTGACACCTATAATTGTTGTTTTGTGTGAAATCGAGCTATAATAACGTAAGGACGGAGCTGACCTGGGTCTGGCATGACTTGCCTCCAGCACCAAACTTTTTGACAACGTCAAATGGACCCGTGTGCGAGGCGGCTCGCCGAAAATGATTAGTCGTCCGGACACACGCGTCATGCGGGGGCCATGAAGTTTATGTGGACCGCTCTGTAGACCGTGAATGTGATGCTTGGACCATGTGCTCATCTTCGGGATCGTAAAATCAAGACACGCAGGAGCACGAAACTTCAACGTGATGTGAAGATGCCAAGAGGTAAAGCTAACTGACTACACATTAGCGTGTATCTTACAAACGCATCGCGCTCAAGTATTGTATCAGCGTGCTTAAACCTGATCGAGAGCTTGCATTGTGAAATTGTCGACAAGGTTGAGAAAAAGCAAACTGGGCATCTACGTGAACAGTAGATTGCAACGGCCGCTGTGAACGAATGCAAAAGGAGCTGTCGGCGAATCCTGGCAGGACGGGGAGACCTTCGTTGTTGTAGGATTGATGACGCACGCACGACACTTCGATGGATACATCTGATAATGGAGAAGCAAGCACATAGCTGGCCACTTCTGCGAGTAGACACCAAACCCTGACGCAAAAACAAAGTTTGTACCTTCTGCTCGCAGATACCATCTACCTGGGACGGGTTAAACATCCCCAACTGAAAGACTCCCTGTCCCCAAGTCTATCCCCAACTACACAAAGACACACAGTCAGTTATTTTTGGGTCGTAATTTGTGCTCGTCTTGACAGATGGCAAAACGACAGCGGTACATAGCACCGAGTTTTACGCTAAGAGAAGCTCAAAGAACACAATCAAGCTTATAGAAAAAACCACGACCCTGCCCGGGTCCCCGCCGTTTCAAGAGGAGGCGAACGAGCCCATAAAGCCGAGCCTTGCATGCAATGTGTCACCTCTAGCCGCAATCAATTATCTCTGAATGTACGCGGACCTACGTTAACGAAATCATCGGAATAAGGTAGGACCGTAATCCGCCTACGGCATACAAACTGAGGCTCTAACAAGTAGCTAATCACTTCTTCTGCAACTTCAGGGCGATATGTAAAAGCTGACGAGCTGTCCTGCGACTGAGCACACTTTCTGGCAACAAGATATAAATGGTATCGGTTTTGCATACTAGTATGTCACCTATGTCGTTGATGTACAGGGGTCAGTGGACAACGCCAGGATCTAGAAGGAGCTCACAAGACAAGAATTATAGGGAAGTGACAGACTGTTTTGCTCAGCATGATAGTCTTGTGATTCTTTTCCGACGCGCATGTCGCTACAAACGATGACAGTATGTAGCTGCGATCTAACGTTGGGCATATCTGTATCGTGAATGACAGGATGACTGGATAATCAGTGTGGATACGCCGTCGCTCTCAAGCTGCTGATAAGCCTACGTCATGAAGAGTGCTAGGTTGCAAAGGTACGTAAGTGACCCTGTTCTTTAAATATTTTATATACTCAAGCGCTCCGGGGTCAATGGTATGCAGTGGACTGGCGAATACGTCTACAACCAGCAGATGCTAAGGTAACGAAGCCACTGTTGTTACCGCAGCTGTCTACTAATATCTAACGGATACTCGGCGCATGTAAATATATATTACAGAGTCACTTATTCGTTGAATGAATTGTCCAGCCTCGAGCGTATATGGATACTGATAGCTCGAGCTTCGGCAGACGAAGGCACTACGGTACGCACTCAGTGAGCTGCAGCAACAACATGACACGAGGTCCGGATCACGCGTGTCAATAAAGTCTTGCACTTCACTCTACAAATAGTTAGACTCAAAATAGCTGTCATTACCATGAGCAACGTGCAATATATTTTGACTCTGGCTTAAGTTTCTGTCGTGCCCTTCAGAATCGCATCTGTCCTTCGCCTTAGTAGTAGCCACACATAGTATCGACTTTCTACATACATCCGACACGCCAAGCCGCAAGTTGCCATCAACCTCGGACTGCTGACGATACGTATTCGAGCCGTCTATGTCTTGCTGACGAATATCCATCCAGAAATCTGAATCCAGTAGATATATAAGTAGCGATAGGATCGAATGAAGGTGAATAGTAAGCTTCGCAGCACGTACCTAGCTCAAACCTGTATGTTGTCAGTGCTGCACCTTGGATCGAACCCGTACTACGTTAGTGTAGTCCTTTGGCTCATACTTGTCCAACGTCAGTGCAGCACCTTGGATCGAACTTGTCTCACGTCAGTGCCGTAGTTTAGCTCGTATTTCTTGGTGTTTGTTTCCAAACGCTAAGACCTAACGTTTAGCACTGGTGTGAGGGGGAGCCTTTATATATATATATTCATATATATAGATCTTATTTAATAATTTACATATACATGTATCGATCGCAATTAGTAAGGCTATGTACCGCTGTCGTTTTGCCATCTGTCAAGACGAGCACAAATTACGACCCAAAAATAACTGACTGTGTGTCTTTGTGTAGTTGGGGATAGACTTGGGGACAGGGAGTCTTTCAGTTGGGGATGTTTAACCCGTCCCAGGTAGATGGTGCCTGCGAGCAGAAGGTACAAACTTTGTTTTTGCGTCAGGGTTTGGTGTCTACTCGCAGAAGTGGCCAGCTATGTGCTTGCTTCTCCATTATCAGATGTATCCATCGAAGTGTCGTGCGTGCGTCATCAATCCTACAACAACGAAGGTCTCCCCGTCCTGCCAGGATTCGCCGACAGCTCCTTTTGCATTCGTTCACAGCGGCCGTTGCAATCTACTGTTCACGTAGATGCCCAGTTTGCTTTTTCTCAACCTTGTCGACAATTTCACAATGCAAGCTCTCGATCAGGTTTAAGCACGCTGATACAATACTTGAGCGCGATGCGTTTGTAAGATAAAAAAACCAAAAAAAAAAAACAAAAAAAAAAAAAACCAAAAAAAAAGGACCGCCCACCAAACCGCCCACAAAACCCCGCCCCCCCCCCCCCGACCAACCACCCCCCCAACCAACCCCCCCCCCCCCCAAACCCACCCCCCACCACCCCCCCCAGCCCCCCCGAGAAACGAGGACCGCGGCAGGCGCCCCCCCGCACCACCAACACCCCCACCCCCCAGCCAAACAACAAAACAAACCCCCCCCCCCCCCCCCCCCCCCCCGGGCGGGGGGGGGGACGGCGAACGCGCCGGGGGGGGGGGGGGACGCCGCCCCCCACCCCTCCCCCCCCCCCCCCACCCCCCCCCCCCGGGGGCGCCGCCCCCCCCCCCGGCGGCCCCCCCGGGCGGGGCGGGGACCCCCGGAAGGGGCGGGGGGGGGGGGGAGCCCCCCACCCCCCCCCCCCCCCCCCCGGGGGCCCCACCCACCGGGGGGGGGGGCCCCCCCCCCCGCCGGCGGGGCCCCCCGCGGGGGGGGGGACCCCCGAAGGGACTGGGGGGGGGGGAGAACGCCAACTGCGTTTGTAAGATACACGCTAATGTGTAGTCAGTTAGCTTTACCTCTTGGCATCTTCACATCACGTTGAAGTTTCGTGCTCCTGCGTGTCTTGATTTTACGATCCCGAAGATGAGCACATGGTCCAAGCATCACATTCACGGTCTACAGAGCGGTCCACATAAACTTCATGGCCCCCGCATGACGCGTGTGTCCGGACGACTAATCATTTTCGGCGAGCCGCCTCGCACACGGGTCCATTTGACGTTGTCAAAAAGTTTGGTGCTGGAGGCAAGTCATGCCAGACCCAGGTCAGCTCCGTCCTTACGTTATTATAGCTCGATTTCACACAAAACAACAATTATAGGTGTCACGCCTCGTTGTTCCTCATCAATGATCAGCCGTGCCATCAAAATCTGATCTGTGAAGCCAACGTATGGCCTTTCCGGTATG